AACACAACAACAACTGTGAGGCAGCTGAGAAAAAGGCAAGTTCAGTGTTTCTCAACCTTGTCAACTTGAAGATGTCTGGACTTCAACTCCCAGAATTTGCTGGCTGGGGAATTCTGGGAGTTGAAGTCCAGACATCTTCAAGTTGACAAGGTTGAGAAACACTGGGCTAGTTGCTACTAGTGAATGTGTCAAATTGACAGCTTTCATTGATAGGTCCCCATTCAAATCCTGTCAGAATGAGAGGTGTAAATTATGAGCAAAGGCTGGAGTGTAGTGGATACAGACAGGTGGATTACATGATCTTAACAGAGTAGTAGCCTTTGAATGCAGAGAGCTCTGAGCTATGTATGACCACTTTTGATGCCAGGCACTATTCCTTGCAGGGTTTTTTTTTAATGTAGCATGATTTGCTGTTCTTGTGGGGTGGAAAAAAGTGGGTTTGTTTTTTCTCCTCCTTATTTACATTCTATCATCACTCTTAAGAAAGAACTGGATATTTACAGAATTTTTCCCCCATCTTTTGTTGCAATTTTTAGGTGCTTCAGAGCTGAGCCCATTTTCAGATCCCAGGCAGTTTACAAGCATTTCAACCCTCACTGAGAGCCGCTTCTCCAACCCACGAATGCACTATCCAGCCACCTTCACTTATACACCGCCAGTCACTTCAGGCATGTCATTGGGTATGTCAGCCACCACTCATTACCATACCTACTTACCGCCACCTTATCCGGGCTCTTCCCAAAACCAAAGTGGACCATTCCAGACCAGCAGTACTCCATATCTCTACTATGGCACATCATCAGGATCATACCAGTTCCCCATGGTGCCGGGGGGAGACCGTTCCCCCTCCAGAATGCTTCCTCCCTGTACCACCACATCCAACGGCAGCACATTATTAAACCCTAACTTGCCTACCCAGAATGATGGTGTGGAGGCTGATGGAAGCCACAGCAGCTCCCCAACAGTCTTGAATTCTAGTGGCAGAATGGATGAGTCTGTCTGGAGGCCTTACTGAAATTTTCTCTGCGGAGCGTAAAATCTTGTCAGACAGAAAGCAAACCAATAAACAAACGATTGTCAGCTGATTATAAAGTGCCTGATTTTTTGTTTTGTTTTTTGTTTTCGAAATAGATTCTGTTAATATGTGCAACTAAGTAGCTGAGATGTTAACAGCTAATTACATGCATACGACATGAGACTGACTTTCCACATCATAATTCCAGTCAATGTGGATCAAAGCACAGTTTTTTTTCCTCCTGGGAATGTTGTCTCAGTTTTATATTTTAAAATATAATGATCCAACCCCAAAAGATGCCCATTCTGTCTAGACTCCTTTTAAAAAAAGCGAGTTCTTTTGCCAAGAGAGGAGACATGGACTTCTGCCAATTGTCAAGGCAACGCCTGTGCTTTATTTGTTGTCCAAATAAACAGAAGCATCTTGAACTTCAGGTACGGTTGCAGTCATACAATCTCTAGGACCCTCATGCATGCACAGTGTAATTCACTCCGTGTGTTTGTGCACACAGAAAAAAAAAATGCTTCCATTTATACCAGAATATCTTCAGCTTACAGTAACTCCTCAACCATCTTATCAAAGCCTTCCCTCTGATGAAAGAGAAAACTTTTGAATCTTTCTTCTTCTTTTGCTGAAATAGCACCCTATAAGGTACCAAGACAAACTTGTTTGTTTTGTGTTATACACTTTTGTGATTACCTTTGCCTTAGTCAAGTTAACCAAAAAAATTCTTGGGGGAAAATGTCCCCCAAACAAAACAAAACAAAACGAAACAAAAAACAAACTAATAAACAAACCAAATTCTAACTTCTTATGCAAGGAAAAAAAAAAGAGAATGGCAATATATCGTACTCAAACCAAAACAGTATCAGTAGTATGTGTGTGTGGCTATCTTGTTTTATTTTATTAAGTTATAAATGTGTACAAAATTGAGGTTATATGCAAAAAATGAATTGTCATATAATTTTAAAGAAATATTTATAATTATTTAATAATGTTTGGTCCCTTTAAGGTTTTTTATAATGTAATGATATGTTGACTTCGGTCTCTAAAAATGTCTGTTGTTTTTAAATTGTGGCAGCCTTTGACTGGTACAGAATATCAGACCATGCATGAACTCTGAAAAGCAGTTCCAGTATAAACTATCTGCAATATGTATTTTTTAAAAAAAAATAATAATAATTAAATGCTTCCATCTCTAAAGAATTCAGGTATAATCATACATTGGCTTAATTTATGAAGGAGGTACTGCTTTAATTGTAACTGAATATTGGGTTGTCTTTTTTTAACCTGGTAAAAATTAACTGGAAACAGATTGAACAGGCATTATTTTGAATACATTACTCTACAATCCCTCCAGGAGGCGGGATCTAGAAGTCCATGTGGACGCTTCTGCTCTTAACACAGAGCCTTTTCATCTCTGCCCTCCCCAAGGCTGCCCTCTGCACTGCAAAGCTCTGTTCCTCAAGATTGGGGCCTTTAGTAGGAGGGTTTCCTGTGAAGCAAAAGAGACACACATACATTTCAAATATACATTTATCTTATATACATATGTTTTAATCCCAGCCAGCTTCATCTGGTGGAATTCAAAAGTTTTCCATGTTTTTCAATCAGCATTTGGGAAACAGTAAAACAGCCCTGCATTGGCGCAAGGAAGGTTCTCCAAGAGACATTTCAGAATTCACCCTTACCTGAAATCAGTAGCTTTCTGTTTAAGAACTCTTAAATTATTTTTTTCAGGAACTATACATTATGTTACAAGGCATTGTATTAAACTGGAATAAGCACACGTGAATTGCTGCAGAGGCCCTCTGCAGTTCAATGCTGCTCCAGCATCTGGCAACATAGAGTAGCTGAAGGTTGATGATAGAAGACAGTGTTTTCATAAAGTCAGGCTCTGCTTCCCTAATTGAAAAACATGATTATTCCCGAAGCTCTTAAAATCAATCATCCAACATTTACCATTTATCATTTTTGCTGGTAAGCAAGCCAAATTAGTTCCTTGGCAAGTAAGTGTCTTTGTCCCCAATTATTCTGTAGTCTTTGACAATTCTTATTTAGACTCATGGTAGATAGAATTTGGCACTTTACACGAAATCCAGCAACTTGTAGCTTTGTGCATAGGCCCAACAGGATGTGGGGATGTGAATGAAAGGTAGGGAGTACTGAAGCTCTTTAAAAGAAGGTGTCACTTTCTTGAAATTCCTTGTCTTTCTAGCCTCTATTTTGATCTCCTTTGTGCTGTCTTTAGCTTGAACTGTGTGCAACAGTCTTTTCCATGTATTGTGATACCGCTGAAACTAAGGATAGTTAGATGTAGTATCTTTTGAACACCCAGTCAATAAGAAAATGGACAATAGAGTTGGCAATTTCAATGACAGCTGATAGCTAAGACAGCCCAAAGAATGATTCTACATCCCCATGAATTATTATTGGCAAGTTAATATAATTCATTTGCTCCTTTGGAAAAATTATTGCCTTCTAAAGGTTAACGATCAAGTCCCCTTTTTATAAATAGGAGAGACTTTCCTGATGTGTAATTTTCTTCCGAAGTTGGAACTTGCTATTGATCCTATTTATTGTTTGCGGTAGCTTGAAGCATACCCTTGTCCAGTGATTTTTATCTGTAAGATAAGTATGTTCATTTCAGCAGCACTTAAAAATGCTAGTGTCTGGTTACACATTTCAAGTTGGAATATTGTTGATTAAGCAAACCAAAATAAGGACATGAATTGCCAGTGCAAATGCTGTTGTGTATTTAATAAAAGGTACTATATTTGTATATTATTTTTATTGCTGAGAAGGCCTTTTAAAAGATATACTATATGCATCTTAAATAATTTTGTAGGGATTTTTTTTTGTTGCTACAGGGGCTGCAGGCAGCAACCCAAATGCATTTAAAAAGAAAGGAAGAAAGAAAGACATTCTTGTACAATTTCAATACTGCTTTATATTTCTGGATTTAATTCAGCATAGATCATTTTTTATATTCTGTTCTGTAGCTTCAGTAATGTTTATATATCACATTTTTGGGATTATTTGGGATTAAAATTCCAGATTGCTCAGGTGTGCAATTTTGCTTGCACCAAAACATGTCCAGTTCATACTGTTGACCACACCAATGAAATAATTTGCTTTACAGTTCAGAGTAACCAATAATAAGAGAGTCATAAGCACCTTTGATATAAGCACAAAGCCCTTCTTTAGAGTCTTTCATGTTTTAAGTGTGCCTTAAAAAGCTCTCAGTTGGAAACATCTTTATCCATCTTGGGAGATACCTAATGTTTTGATGGCATCAGGAGAAAAATAAGCTAAAGTTCAAGCTTTACAGTTACTATAATGTTTCTCCTGTATGTCACCCATCTCTCCTTCCAAGTTCATTTTATTTTGATGCAGGAAGGGAAAATGGGATGACATTAGCATTATGGGCTGTAGTTAGAGTCTCAAGTCCACAAGAAAGGTTGGTCCAGTTTATAGTGTTAAAATGCTTGTGCAGACATCTTTACGGAGTCTGTATAAGAATTTACAGAGAGATTTTTCAAGTCTTTGGCCTTGGATAAAACACAGAATTCACTTGGGCACGGCGAATCCAAAGTTTATTGGTATAAAACAGGCACTAGCGACTAGGCCATGAAAAAACCCCTGTCACAGCATCTGGGATGTTGCTCCATTGAATCTGACTCTAAGCTAGCAGTCCCTGGGCATGGATTTGCTAGCCATTATCTCCTCCTCCCTTCTCGCCAGGCTTCATCAAGGAGAGATTTTTGCACTGTCAAGTTTGCCTGATAAGTTTGCCCTCCTTTTTTGCTGGAGCCTCCATTTCAGTCCTGGTGAGGTCATGCATCAGGACTCTGAGAAAAGCCATGAACAAAAGCAATAATTTAAACATAAATAAAATATAAACCAAAGGAAATACTGTTTTCTAAGAGCTTTATTTCTGTGATAACATTTCATTTCAGTATGTTTGACCTGTCATTTTGCCATTTAAGTTCATTGCAATATTTTTAAATAGATCAGCCAGAAATCATATTTTACAGTACATTTTGTTTCCTAGGTACACTAAGCAATATTCCACAGTATTTTTTTGCTTAAATATGTTTTACCAGTCTTGAATTTCTGCTGGAGCAAAATATTTGTAGCATTTCCTGTAAATACAAGCTTTAATTTCTTTCATTTTCCCCCAATTGCTGTTGTCCAAGAATTGCTTTCCATGCACGGATTGTACAAACACATTCTTTTTCCTTTTTTTTTTGTGCCGCAGACAGCGATTGTGGAAGGGAAGGGTTTACTTTATCTTCAAAGGGACTGTGTGTATTGTATGTTGCAACTGTAAATTGAATTTGTTTGGCATTCTCTCATGATTGTAATATTAATTTTGAGGTTTGAATCTCATTTTCAATAAAGTGGCTTTTTTGTTATTGTTGTTCCTTGCGTCTTTGTCTTCTGCTGCATCTCCATAATTATCTCTTTCATATTTGTAAATAGACTAGAGCTGACTGGAGCCAGACTATTTTGAAATACCAAACTGCATATTGACAGCTCCTTTAACATCTGTAGGACAGAAACTGCTATTTTAAAATAGCACACTCCTAATCTTATGCATAGTTATATGAAACTCCAAGGATCTCTGATTGATGGTGCACATCTAATGTTGCATCATAGCTTGTATCAAAATAAGAGCTTACTTTAATAAATGAAAAAAGCAGAGGGTGGGGGTGAGGTATTCAGTACTGTTGCTGTGGAGGAAAAAGTAGAAAGAAAGCATAGGCAGTGGAAGGTAACCATTTTCTCAAATAATATCTGTATGGTATTATGTTCTAAGTTGGAGTCACTTCCAACAGTCAGAAATTGTTTCTTTTTTTCTTTCTGATTTTTTTTAAAGCAAGGGTAGGAGGAAAATGTCACTGTGAAGTTTTCACTAAGGCCCTATTATTTGGTGTGGTGTCACAATTTTTGCGGTGGAGAAATGAAAAGTTGGGGGCGTTCTGAGGGCTTACATTTATCCCACACATGTGCTACCAAAAAGAGTGTAAGGTATGCATTACAGTGTTTACAAGTGTGTCAGGGCTGAGAAATATACCCCCCCCCAACCCTTAGCAGTCCCAGCCACTTGGCCAATGGCCTGAAATGCTGGGAGTTGCAGTTTAGCCATACACAAAGAGCCACAAGGTCTCCATCCATGCTAAGGCTTGAAATTGCAGGGTTAATTTTTTCAATAAATGCATTTTTTTTCCAATGATGAGAAGTCAAGGCATGCTTTTAATAAATTAATAAATATTGACATTGGAGAGGTTGAACATGATGATGCATAAAATGACTAAATGTCATGAGCTCAAATAATAATAGTAACTAAAGGTTGATGATTTATTTCTGGGTGAGAAATAAAGGCAGATAGCTGTTAATGTATTTCAAATTTATTTTTAAAAATTCTCAGAACTTCCTAGAAAGGATAGATTTGGCTTTAAAACCATAGAAATTCACTGATTAAGTACCTGGATAATGGGTGGAACTGTTCTCAACAATGTACTCAAAGCAACAATCTTTATAAAGAGGATAGGAAGCTGGAAGCTCACAACTCCATCAAGAGACCAAGACAGCAAATAAGAATAGGAGTGCAAGGAAACAAGGCCTGAAGAAAGGTGACTTGCATAGTGTATAATATCATCTATTGCAAATGGATTCTTATCTCCTTGCAGTAGGAGTTGTAGGGTCCTACAGTTTATCCAGGAATAGAGGGGGCAATAGGAGGATTCCAAAAAGGAAAAGGCACCACAGTGGAAATAGTAAGTACTTGGAAGCATAAAATATGACTGGACAAACAAGGAGAGGTCTAGATCACAGGGTCTGATTAAGTGATTCTGTTTCTAGACATGGAAGGCATATTTCACCCACCTGATATGGTATGGTATCATACTAGTATCTCAACAAGGGAAAGGACTCAACCACAGGGGTCAATGGTGGAAAACTTTTCACAGAGGAGGAAAACAGTCTGGTGGAAATGGGGGTCTTATTGAAAGGAATAGAAGCTGCAATGTATTGACCAAACACGCTAAGTACATTGTCTTCTGCTAGATATTCAGGAGTCAATTAAACTAAATGATCCCTACTATTTCTGTTTGACATTTGGATATTAAGGCCACTGCTAGAAAAGTAAAACATTTTAGAGGATTATAAGAGACGACAAAACCCTGGGTAATAGGACAATTAGGGAAAGCATGATCCTGGAAGTGAGTAACTGGCTAAGAAGGAAGTAGAGTCAGGAAAAGTTTTAGGCTGACACCAGTATAAGAGACAGGTTGGTAGGAATGGTTTGCATCTCAAAAGACCAGATAAAAAGAACCTTTTGAAACTTGATAGAAGAAAAAGGGAGAAAGGGGCAAGATTCAGGCAGAGAAATGCTGGGTATGAGGCACATGACTGCTTATGACAAGGGAGGAGGTACAAGCCTAGAAGGGATACTCATAAATCCTCAAAGGTCTTGCAGTTATATCTCCAGTCTCTAGTGTCTACACACCAGAGCACAAAGTATGCAATGCACCGAAGATGTGTAAGAAACAAGAAGAACATGGAGCAATAGAGAAAACCGAGTATTGGAGAAAATGGAGAAAAACACAATATTTGTAGGAGATTCAAGGTACTAATTATTACCTTTAAAGTGCTCCATGGCTTAGGTCCAGGATACCTGCAGGTCCACCTACTGCCACCAGTAGCATCCCACTGTCCAGTGCGATCCAACAGAGTTGGCCTCATCAGGGTGCTGTCGGCCAGACAGTATCAGCTAGGGGGAGAGCCTTCTCTGTGGGAGCGCCTTCCCTCTGGAATGAGCTGTCCCCGGAGCTTTGCATAATTCCCGACTTCCAGTCCTTTCGACGCGCCCTAAAAAGTTGGCTTTTCCAGCAAGCCGGCCTGTCCTGAATAAAATAAAATATAGGATTCATTTGGTTGTTAATTTTAATTTAATTTTCAAATTTTTATTGTAAATATCAATTGGGTTTTTTTTGGATACTTTATTTAATGTCCCTTTTAATTTTTGTAATATGTGCTTTCTTTTATGTTGTACACCGCCCTGAGTCCTTGGGAGAAGGGCGGCATATAACCCTAAACCTAGATGATCTGGGTGAGCCCGAGGCCGGTTACATTATCGGGAACTAGAATGAGTTTATCAAGAGCAAACTATCAGAGTAGACTTATCTCTTTTACAAACAAAGCAGTTTGGTAGCCTCAGGGAATGCTTTCAATTTACTATACTTTAATCAAAGCAAAGTGTTTAATAAGGTATTGGGAAATGCCAAATCTGTAATGATGAACTTCAGTGATGCCAAAGTCCTGCATCTAGGTATGAAAAAATCCAATACCTAACTACAGATTTGTCAAGATCTGGTTTGGTGACATTGTGGGTGAGAAAGATATATGATACTAATGGGTCACACATGAACATGAGCAAGCAGGTAAGGAAGCAGTTGAGAAGTCTAATGCAATATTAGAGTGAATTAGTAGAAACATTGTGTCCATTACACAAGAATGTATAATGTCATCCTACCCTGTACTGATTAGTCCTCTGTTGGAGTATTATGCCCAGTTCTGGATACCATATTTTTAAAAAGACAGTTAAAACAAGAAGTTTACAACAAGAACAAGTTTAGAAGAGAATTACCAGGAAGATAAGAGGTCTAGAAATCAAATCCTTTGAGGAATGTCTATGGAGATTCTCAGTCATTCTCAGAACTGAGGATCCATCTTGGATGAGAAGCAAAACATCTTCAAGAAAAAACAAAGCAAGTCCAGTTGCCTTTTGAAAAAAGGGACATCGTTTGAGGAATATTTAAAGGAGCTGGGTATCTTTCTCCTACAAAAGTCAAGACTAAGAAAAGACATGGTAGCGAGAGGAGGTAGACCCTTCTCTGTTGAACTAGACCAAAAACCAATGGTTGAGGAAGATTCAAGTTGAATATAAGAATGGTTAAACCAGAAAAAAAGTCTGGCTAGAACAATGGTGGACTGCATCTCTCTGTAGTTTTCAAGCAGGGGCTGGATCACCATCTTTTGGGACAGGTTTCCCCAGGTGTTTTTGTCAGAAGGATGGGAAGATCTGCTACAGATATAATTTTTATGAGTAGGATGTATGACTTCTTCAGGCATCATGTTCATCTATACGTAGCTATTGGTTCAAACTATGCTTTCAGATTTACTATTGTGATATGGGAAGCTGTATTAAATAAATAAATAGTTTTATGATTCTGATGCTACAATAGTAAACAAAAACACCAATACATGTTTTGTTTCATTTTGCCAATAATGAAGGATCTTAAAAATGAAAACTCAATTGTAATGATTTTACTGCAAGTATCAGTGTCTTAAACTTTGAGAAGTCTTGAGCATCTTGACAATTAGCAATTAACATTTTTTTGTCTCTTTCATTTTCAATCTGCTAATTTTCATTTTTTAAGCTTGGCTATGGTTGTTTTTAAAAGAAAAGCCTGAATGCTCAAGCAGTTTTTGTTTACTTTTCCATTTCCGGAATTGTCAGAACTTCTGTTGTCTGCTGACCTTGGGTGCTTGATCTCAACATAATGCATCGAATAGTTTTTCCCATGAAGAAGATCCAAGCCCCGATCTTACTAAAGGGCATAATGCAAGAAATACCAGCCAGGTAAGCAGAACAGCAATGCATTTTGTTAGTGAGTTGCAAGAAACCTTGTGTTAGACACAGATAAAGGCAGATGTTGGGAATCTTGGCTGCTTTGAGAGGTCTGTATCCTTTTACTGCCAGAGATGGTTTTCTCCAAGCAGAGCAGGATGTTCTTTTTTATAATAGCCACGCCAGATGTTAAACAATTCACTGCTAAATCCTGGATAAGTGAGAAGGGGGAGCAGCTGACTTCTGTTAAGATGAACACCAAGAGAATAAGCCAGAAAGTATGCGAGGTCTCCAGGGCCTCTTCTTCATAAGCCCCTGTTTGGCGACAAGATCACAGCATTGGGACTGGAAGTTCCTCATCATATGGCATTTCTGCTCCTATCCCTATTTGAACTGGTTCTAGAATATAGCTTTCTTGATTACATAGGTGTTCCTTCCCTCTCTTTTTCCCTCCCTCACCCACAATTGCTGGCTTTATTGTGCTGTTTGCAACAGTTTTGTCCTTGCCTTTTGAATCCATGGAACTGTGTTTAAAGCATGATTTAACAATTTGCTTGCCTAACCACAGAAAACAATGTAATTTTGAATAGTGACCACTAGCTCAATTCAGAGTGTGCAGGTTGCAATCACAGAACCATATATGGACTAAAATGTTTTACACCATCTATTGTGCCCTTTCAGATGGCACAGTTTTAACGGTGTGATTGCCCCAAAATAGCAGAAAACCTTTCAACCATTTTGAGGCAGGAAGTATATAAAACAGCTTAATGTACTTTAAAA